CATTAGCTCTCTGTTTAAATGTACTCACAAAGTCCGGCGTACAGTTGGGTCATTGTAAAAAGCCTGCGTTCAAATCAGTACTACTCCTAAACTCATGCTGTGATATCTAAACTAACACGAATTGATGACTGACTTTTTTACTACTATTAATTCATAATATATTAAATAAAATTAAAATAAGTTATATTAAAAATTAAATTAATTTTAATAGTGAAAAATGGGTCTGTTCGACATAGACCTCGGTGAACTGTATCACAAAATTTTACGGAAACATTTTAATGTGACTAGTTTGCAATGTGAAATGATATTGACGACAACATTGTTGTTAGTACTTGCATGTTCCTTTTTTATGTTCCCTGCACTGTTTGTTAGTTCTGTTGTATTTTTGGCAGTTGTTGGACAACAGCTAGGTGTCAGAAGGTTGTATGTGAGCCTTTTGTTGCAACTATTTGAGGTAAGATAAAGAATATATGTATCTATCTGGCTACAGAACACATGCTCTGAAATTTATAAAATATAATATAAATATACAATATGAACCTTTTAACCAAACCATCAATTCGATAGATTTATTGATGCGCACGCACATGTTGCGTGAGATCGTTGTCTCCTTTCTTGCACTTTACAATAAAATTTTGAACTGTAATTATTTCACACAGAAATAGTGTTATTTAGTTAAAACCTGTTTGATTATTACCTTTTGAATTTTGGTACGGTTGTCGTCGATTAGTGTTCAAAGAAAATATCGTTTTCTGTCAAAAATAGATTATTTCAGTTCTAATATTATTTTTCAAATGATAATAAAGATTTATGTATATCATATCAATATTGGGGAAATTTTTTTTTTTCTTTCCACATTTCAATATTGTCTTTTAAATTCTGAGTGATTCTGTTATCTTCATAAACAGAAAAAATGCACTTTCTTGCAATATTTTTAACTTCCTTTAATCACTCATAAATTAATTAAGTTTTTATTGATTAAGTCGATTATTTACACATATCGGGAAGTCCATGTAACTTGCCTCAAGGCAAAATACCAATGCCAACTAGTTAATACAAATATTTTAATACACAATTTTATATTTTGAAACTTTTATAAACAACTTATTTGATATCAAATAAATCGTCACCTCGAAAGTAATCCGAAATTAATAAAAGTAATGCACATGCATGCTTATTTAACCATGTTTTTGAAGCAATTTAACCATTTTTATGAAAATATAAATAATAAATAGATACTGGGAAAATATTTACAACATAAAACCACTTTCAACAAATCACCATTGAGTGGAAATTAAAATATTAGATGCAAATTTCTGCACTCTAAATTATATTATACGGTATGATTTGATTATACCTCTAAGAGTTGGTCACTTCATAAAAAAATGGCTAAATTGATTGAAATTCTGCACAAAAAATGGAAATGATATTAAAAATCGGAATATTACTTTCATATCGTCATATTCATTTAAATCATTACTTCAGTCCAAATTCAATACCAACAACTATAATTATATATAAGAAAAGAAGGCAATTAGTGCAAATTGTTAGTGATTTTTGTTATGATACAATATTAAACTTAAACTTTATATGGCATAAATTGTTGAAAATTGATAAAGTTATGATTAAAACTCAACATGATACTTTTGAACTAACGTTTTCAATATCAAAATTAATTCAATTCATTTAAATTATCACAACAAGGTCAAGAGTAATGTTTCTCTTTTATATAAACGCGTATCTATTATATCGATAATCATACATTACAAAATGATATGAAAATATCTTAAGTAATAATTATTTTGCAAAATAACTAATATATATATGTATATATAAACATTTTTTTTTGTTTTTTTTTAACCAGACCTCAATACTCCCAAGAACCCCTAACTAAATTTTCCAAATATTAGTCGGTTATTACATGGCTTTTTGTAAGGCAACCTAATTGGACTATTCAAAAATAAAAATAACTGGTAGGGCATGGCATCATGCCTTAAGGCTAATTGCCGGAACTTCCTTTGCTGCCTTTGCCAAAAACTAATCAGCACGTCTCCCCATCAATAGGAATCGAATGTTTTGTGGATCATTCAAATCGGTTGATCCGTGTTCTCGAAATCGTCGACAAAAATTGTATCCGCACATCCGCACCTCACACACACACACATACACGCATACATCCATTTAGTATAAGCATGCCAAAATGTTTATAAAAATCTTTGAAACGTAAAGATATATAAAAAATTTCGTTTTCAATTTTTTTGCGATCACTATAACTTATCCTAGCAAGACAAACGGAGGGAATTTAAACATCAAACGATCCATTGTTAATAAAACCATTAGTATTTAAATATTGATAACACAAAATAGGTGTGAGAAAATTTTCCAAATATTATTTCCGCCTCATTATTAAACAAATCTTTAATCGATAGTCATATCTTTAGTAATGTTGATTCATAACACCGGTAAAGTTTTGATTTATTGAATTCTATGAATTGTCACGTTTATATATCCGCGCACGAATGGTATTGGCAACTTAATAAATGCCTTGGTTTCTTGAATGATTGGTGTTAAGGCCTTTGACCTTTTTGTTATTATAGTTAAAAAAAATATTAATTTAGTATTTTGGGCACCTTATTTAAGCAGATATTTATTTATTATCTAACATTCTATCACAGAGTTAAAGTGCAGGTACGACATAAGTAAACTTGTACGAACTGCAATCGTTTTTTGTAAACAACTCATCAACAGGTTCTATTGCATGACTTGCATATATATAATTGAATTAATAATAACTAACGCAATTTGCAAAATCATTTACATCATTTTGTAGAGTGTTTTTTCATCTTTTACAACTTTTTCAAGTTCAATAATATTTCATGATAATATGAAATTGCATACGTTACATATACTATTGCTAATACTCAATAAAAAATTGCGCAGACTTTATTAGACTATTAGTTGAAAGAAATCTTCATAAAAGACTTAATCCTTTCCACTCGCTAATTGCGGAATTACTACGTATTTTGCCGCCGGAGCGCCGGCATCCGAGTGGAAAGGGTTAAAATGCTTAGTGAAATCAAGAGCGATTGCAAGATCTTCAATATTTTTAATTTTTTTAATAATTTTTAGTTTCTAAGCATAAGAATGATTTAGCAATAATTATTATTTGTTAGGAAGTAATTATACAGAATCAAATAATCATCAACTTCTAATGTTTATGTAAGATGTTACTGAAAAAAAACGGCACAAAAAAGTTAATAATTAATAAGAAGTGTTAATAATCCGAATTATTCGTTAATACACTGATAACAATTTTAAAGCTTGCAAATGATTGAAATCTATTTTATAATCGAATTAAGTAATCTTAAAAATTACTATTTAGCTAAAAAGCGATCGTTACAAAATGATATCGAACATTTATAAATAAAATATTTCAAAATAATTTGATTAGAGAAGTCGCGTGGCAGTATATGATTTATATTTTAAACGACATTTCTTATCATTTTGTTATGTAATTAAGATATTTAAGGTCGTTAGCACTCCAATTATTTACAGAAATCAATATCAATAATTATCCTATGGAAATTAGCATTGGAAATAAGCAAAGTGTTGCACAAACGTAATTTTATTGGAATAAATTTATAATTACGATTTAGATTCTGGAGATTTTGTAAGAATAAAATAATGTGATAATATTACACTTTTTTTCATTTTCAGTATTATTGAATTGATCAAGTATATATTAGTAGAAAGAATTTTATGATTTTTTCTTAAATGCTTAAGTATTTAAACGTGTTTTGATTTTTATTGTATAATCAATTGAAAATTATTATCTAATAAATGATTAAAATTGATAAGCATAATATCAACTATATATAAAAGAAGTTAAATATATATATTTTCAGTAAAAACGTTAATTTTAATCTACTTGTGGTTTTATTAAAAAAGATCCGAGTTAGCGAAAGTTTCAAAAAATATTTTTATTAAAGTTTTATTGTCTATCCCTGACTTTTTATTCAAAATTCAATTGATTTTAAATTATCGATGAAATTTTTGTTAAGTATTTGAATCTAAAATGTTGTTGCTGCCTAATAATCTAATTTTTTTAAGTCATAATTTGGAATCAATAAGAATTTTTTTCAAAATTGCATTAAAATTTAAGGCACACTTTATATTTTAAACCTCCCAGTAAACCACAAACGTCACATAAAGTTAAAGTAACGTACCACAGAAGAAACGTTGTTATGTTTTTTATGGTTACGTTAATAAAACGTAAATGTTACGTTTAATTATAACTTTTAAACGTTAATGCATGGTTTTCTTCATAACGTAACCGTTCAGTTACACTGTTTTGTAAGTTTAACATACAAAATGGACGGTGCGGTACAGCTGTTTCACAAAACTGTCAAAAAGATAGGTTACGTGTTCTACTCTTTTATGTATGCGAGACTCTATGCACGAAAATACAATTGAAAGTTATTCGTGACTCTATATATTTTACTTTTCTGTCTATGACTAATGACTCTAATGGACGCTTCATATTGAAGATCTTTTGACAAGCAAATTATTTCATTCTTTTGAAGCATTTATTTAATCATTATTTATATGATTAATGTTTTATATGATTAATGTAGAACGTATTAGTTATGCAGTGTGCAGTTAAAATGTTTAAAATGGAGTCGATCAAGGTAAGTATAAATATAAAACATGTGTAAATTATTTTAATTTATATATTATTATAATATTGATTTTTTTTTCAGTATATAGTTGGACCTTAATGGAAATTTTATTCGCGTATTTTGTTATTTGTAGATGTTTTCATCAAATGTATGTTTATCAAATAATAATTAAATTCTACAAATCATAACCTCAATGATTATTGCAATGTTGAGTCAAAAGGTTAGTAAAAATGAGATATACAGATACAAATTTAATATTTGTAGCCCCTTCAGTAACAATAATATAGTTCGGCTAAACAGGAGCAAAAACTAATACAATGGTTTTCAATTGAAGAAATATAATGACTCAGAACATAATAAAGATATGAATAAAGAGCTCAAATAAAGAATATGAATGCAAAGTTAGAATGTAAAATAATAATCCACCATCATCACGAAAAAATGATTTGAAGAAGAATAAAATTTTTTACAGCATTAAATGATGACACTCGTGTCATGTGTCATGGAATTGGTATACCCCATTATGATAGTTAGAGATGATTAGATGATTTAGTATTAATTTTTTATGATTTAGTTTTAGCAAAAATATGATTTAAAAGTTGGTGGATGAAATTCGGCTGAACTGACAAGAAACAATTAAGACAATATTTGAGCAATACGTTCATAAAGGAATTAGCTGCACTTTGTTCTTAATAAATAATGAAAGTAAATAGAGGTAATTAGAAGTATTGTTACAATTTATATTAATAATCACAATATTTCCAAATCATTACCTTCTATTGTTTTTACTTCAGCAAAAATATATTTAAAAATTCAGAGACTAAAATCTTCTTTATTGTCTAAAGTGTAATTCGAGGAAGAATTAATATGTTTTTGGTATTGTTGAAAGGACTGCCTAGCTGTCAATAACTTGAAAATAATGAATATTTTTAGAGGTAATGTTACAAAAAATTTAAATCAATATTATCAATAAACAATTTGTAGAAATTGTTTCTAACCTGTTTGGTTCTGTTTTAGATACATTTACAAACAGAAAGCAGTGAAATGGTTTCAATTTGATAAACAAAGGTTGCCAAGAATTTTACACAAGACTTATTTTCAATGGTTAAAATTTTATAATCAAAATAAAACAGTTAATTCCATCCTGTTAAATAGAAATTTGTTAGAATTGTTATTTTTGTTTTAGATTAATCAAATTTTTAAAATCCAAATTTATATTCTGTAGTTTTGTAATTTTAAGTATATGTTATGTAAATTTTGTAAATTCTTAATTAAAATATGAAATAAAATTAATATAAAAAATGGTTTTTATATTTACAGCAAATTCTATTAAATTTTTAAGTTACATCAAAGACACCTACACGTTAATTTAGTAATTTAGAAACGTAACAAAAACGAAACCGTTTCGTTTTCGCGCAATTTGGAAACGTTACAAAAACGAAACCGTTACGTTTTCGCGTAACAAAACAGGCCGTTACGTTTTTGAGGCGGAAATAGATACGTTTGTGTGCCTCCTAGGTTACGTAACCGCTATGTTTCACGTACAACCTGTTACGTTCTATTAACGTTTTCATTACGTTTTGTGGTTTACTGGGCTGTAAGTTACAGGCTGTAACTGTAATAATTACTAAAAAGCTAACTCATAGATTCAAAAATAACAATAAAAAATGCATTAATAAAACATATATTTGTCTTTAATTAAAATTACTGAAAGTATGACCTTAAATTAATTATTATTACTTTACTATAAAAAAGTTTATTCAGCCTTGTTAGACCTATAGGTGTACCTCTACTTTTTTATAGTGCATTAATTCATAGGGTCATTAACATTATTTTATGATCTTATTATCTTTTTTGAGATATATATGCCTTTATTTTGTTATCAAACAACGTGGAATCATTTTTTAGATTATATTAATAAAAATCGATTCAAAGTACACGTTGATTGTTGAACACTATATAATATCGACTTTGAACCTTTGAAAAAATTGAATCGTCATTTTATCTTTGAATAACTCTAACGAACCTAAAAAAAATTTCGAGCATATATGCAACTCATAAGTCCAAAGTTAAATTTAAGAAGAATCTAATTAGATTCAAATTAGCTTCTAATAAGATCTTATAAGTACAATGGTTTAAGTTACATATGGTTTAAGTCAGTTAATAATAAAAATGATAAAAAGTCAGTTTTTAAGTATTATTTGTAGATGTATAACGGAAAAAAATATTAAATTTCGTAAATTTTGTTAGAGCATTGTGGGCATTCGTCAAAATTAAAATTAATTAATTAATAAAACGTGTCCTTGGCTCTTAATTAAATTTGGTTAAAAAAGTTGTACTAAAATATAAAAAGTGATCGCGCAGTACTATATTGAGATATTTATTATTACACTGATTGCAAAAATATTTACATAGCAACTAATTCCGCAACAAAAAAATCTTGATAATATTTTTTTAAGATTAAACTGCGTTGTAAATGACATTTGCGATATGCTTGATAATATATAAAATAAAATTAATTTGATAATTAAAATTTATTTTTAATAATTCGTGATGATTTGATCAGAACAAAATTATTAAACCCATTAAAGTAGCCAGGCTGTCATATTAATATTATTTAATAATTTTAATCATTTTAATTTTAATAATAATTGTAGGTTTAATAAAATTAAATTATATATAATACTTCGTTTGCAGTATAGTGTCAGATAAATATGATTCATGCGAAATATATGTAAAAATAAAAAAAATTACATATAAAGGCAATTACATAATTTAGGGCAAAACCTTTAATTAATAACATGTTTTTGATAACATTAACTCATTAAAACTCAGAGAAAAAAGTCGAACTAATAAAAAAGAGTTCTTAACTAATTGAGAATGCTATTTTCATATTTATTTTATACCTTAATATTATATTTAAAAAACGTATCCCAAACGGCATTTTATCTTGTGGCATGTTGTATGATTTTCCCAATAACAGTAAATAATCGATTTAACTAGCTGTAAGTGGAATTCTGTCTTAAGGCAATTAGGGCATCGTGCTTTAAGGCAAATTGCTGGAACTTCCCGTACCAAAAATTATTATTTTTTTAAAAACGATTAACATGTTTGAAAAAAATTTAATCAAAAAAAAATAGATTTGAGAAACTACAAATTTGACAAAAAATTACTTTTTTTTGAAAAAAAAAATTATATGAAAAAAAAAAAATTTTTTTTTGGATACAAAAAATTTTTTTGAAAAAATGTTTTCTTCATTTGACATATTTTGGAAATTCTGAACTTTTTTTCAAAGCAATCGCACTGCTTGAACTGCATAGAGACGAAATATCAAAGCGCGCATGTGCCGCGCCGCCGTCCAACGCATAAGCATTGGTACGGAACCCATAAAAATGTAAAAAAAAACAATATACTTATTGTTAAAATCTCTATAAAATATCTGATAATTTGATGTGCATATGTCTAATGATAATTTTTAACTGCCAAATGGCATTATTTTTTACATTTTTTATTAGATCTCCGAAACCGCTAGACCTACCTCCATGAAAATTTGATCAATTCTACATCTTGTCAATACAAGTAAAATGTTTTTTGAATTATTCAAATCGGACGCTCCGTTCTCTTAAAAACGGAGGTACCGTTCGTGGCACTTTTTGCCCCGTATCTTTGGAACGGCTAGACCTGCCTTTGTCAAAAACTAATCAGCACGTCTCCTTATCAATACGAATCGAATGTTTTTTGAATTATTCAAATCGGTTGATCCGTGTTCCCGAAATCGTCGACGAAAATTTGTATCCGCACATACATACACACACATACATACATACATACATACATACATACATACATACATACATACATACATACACACACACACACACACACACACATACATCCATTTTTTCTAAGGTATGCCAAAATGTTCAGAAGGTTTTGAAACGTCGAGAAATGCAAAAATTTTCATTTTCGATTTTTTTGCGATTACTATAACTTACCCTACGGGAAGTTAATCAATAATATTTTTTTGGTTTCTATATGATCTACCTATCTACCTGTTTATCTGTCTACCAGTCCACCTGTCTCTTAACTACATTTATTCCGTCTACCTGTTTACGTACTAGTGCACTTGTCTACCGGCCCACCTGTTTATTTGTCTACATGTTTACTTATCTACCTACTTACTTTTCTACCTGCCTACCTGTCTACATGTTCACCTATCTACCTGCCAACTTATTCACATGTTTTTCTGTCTACTACATGTTTACCTTTTGATCTGTCGCGAAGTTAAAAACATTTTATTTTTATTAGAAAGTTTAAAAAAAATCTTGTGTATCTATTAATGATTTTCAATGTTGTATTTTTTGCTAAGTTATTTGATTACTTGTATCAAATCTTATAACATTTATTTTTAAGTTTTTATTTGAATTACAATAGTCAGAATCATGACAGTCAGTATCATGAAGACATTTAGTGATAAAATTGTTTTGTTTTTAACAAATGACTGTTTACAAAGCCTTGTTTATATTAAATCAAGTCGTTTAATATATTTGAATAGTATTATTTTACTTTCTATCATTTTGCAGCAACGAAAGGCGATTTTGCAAAGATTATGTATTTCAATGTGATTTGTAATTTCAAGTAAAAATCCGATATCATACTGCTTGATATCAAGCTGACCGAAACGGGATCGTACACGAAACTAGTGGTTGCTAATCCATGCTCCTCAAAACTTTTTCTTACTATTCTATCCTTAGTTTTGACTTATATAATATATGGATTTTAATCCATTATTGGAATGAAAATTTATTAAATTTCTTTTTCCTTTCAGTTTGGTCGAGTTAACATCGAAAGTTCTGAACGGAGTAAACATTATGCGTCATATTATGAAGTCGAAGAAAACGAATCGACTTCGGAAACAGTAGATTCAACTACTACGACTTCAACTGAAACACGTAAAGATGAAATTAATGATGATGCCAAGTCTCCTAAAGCTGATTTTATAAATGGATTTAACAACAATGGTATGAACGTCATCAAACGAGACACAGTATTGCTTCCGGCCAGAATCAAAAGACAAGCCAGTCGTCATCTACCAGGAGATGATGTAAGTGGTTAATTGGAAATTAAATAAGTTGGTGAAATTGTCATCTTGGTTATATTGCTATTTATTGATTTTATTGATCGTGAACATCAAGTGCTCGAATTAATATCAATTTTTACATATGTAGCGGTCCACAACTTTTTACTCAAAGTTATCCTTCTGTCTCTTTAATTTTTACTTAAGGTTAATTGAATTTTCCAAGAGAAAACAAAAAATGTCTGGACAAATAACCTTTGCTTCCAATTGAATATTATTACTGATGTAGTAAAAATCTTTTCACAATCTGATATTTTCCCGAATTAGTAGTAAGTGCATTTTGCCTTAAGGCAAGTTCAGCATTTTGATCAGAATCTCTTAAGAGCGCGGAGCTATTCCAAACTTTAATGAATTTTTGTAATTCAACCTCTATCATAGGCCTATATTATTTTAGTTTGTTATTTCAGATTACGAAATCTATCGCCATACAAAGTTCCATCGAAAAATTACCAAAGATTTAGATCTTACCAAAAACTAATGAGCGTGATTCATAACCAATATTTTTAGAATAGTTTTTGAATTTTTAAAATTCATTCAGGTATGTAAGCTAAAATGCGGATGAATAATTTTATACTTTTCTACTAATTACAAAGAAATGGCTTGACCGATCGTCGCGCAAAACTGATAAACGCTAGTCCTTATCGAGTTACATCGAAATTTTGAAATCGGTCCAGACGTTTTTTTGAGAAAACGACGAAGGCCCAAAATCGGTGCACCCACACATATACCTTTTCCAAATTTGGTCTCATTCAATTCAGAATCACATGAAACGTCGAGCAAACATAAAAATAAAAAATCAGACGATAAATCTGGCAATAGCACAAACTTTTCCTTAGGGAAGTTTAATTTCTGGACTAATTCTTCTGTCCAATTGATGTTATTCCTACTATGACAAAAAATAGTGTTCCACACTTGGAAATACTTTAAAAAATAATATATTTTATATTTTAGGACTTCATCAATGAATCAGGAATCGAAAGATGTTTGAACTATTTGAAATCAGGGATGGAAAGTATTATCGAAGATGAAGTGACATCAAGATTTGAAGCAGAAGAACTTAAGAATTGGAACTTTCTTACACGCACTAATCGCCGCTACGAATTTATCAGCTGGAAATTAACTATTCTTTGGTTTATAGGATGTATAGTTAGATATCTAATTTTGTTCCCATTGAGAATGATCATTTTCTTAACCGGGGTAAATAGTTAATGATATTATATCCCTATATTGAAAATCTAATCAAAGCTTAACATAAGAATGTATTATCGATTGATTGTAATTTTGTTAAAAGTCTTTATCAAATTTTTTATATCTTCACTGTTCTGGAGTATTTCATTTTTTACTAGATTTTTCGCTGATTTATTTTTCAGGTACTTTGGACAGTAGTCGCGTTCATGTTGATCAGTTGTTTGCCAAATGGAAGTTTCAAACGTTGGCTGAACGATTTGGCATTCAAAACTACTTTCAGAATATTTGCCAGAGCTTTGTCATCGGTATTGACTTTTCACAATATTGAATATAGACCGAAACGAGGAGGATTTTGTGTGGCTAACCACACAACGCCTATAGATGTAGTAATGCTCTCAACTGAAACTTGCTTTTCCTTGGTAAGATATGTTCCTTTTTGTGCAAACACAAAATTACCACTAACAATTATTACTTAATTATTAGAAATATTTTCCATTTACAGATAGGGCAAAAACATGGTGGTTTTTTCGGACTGATACAGCAATCTTTAGCTGCTGCTTCGCCTCACATATGGTTTGAAAGAGCGGAGCAAAAAGATAGAAACGCAGTAGCTTCAAGGTAAAAAAAATATTATAATATAAAAAATTCCTCCTCCTAAACAATAAGTTGATTTAATTATTTGCTAATCATTTTTTGTGTGTATGTATTATTAAAGTATGAATTTAATTCCTTTGCAGATTGAGACAACATGTGGCAAATCCAAAAAATCCTTCTATTCTAATTTTTCCAGAAGGCACTTGCATCAATAATACCTCTGTAATGCAATTCAAAAAAGGAACTTTTGAAGTCGATGGCACAATTTATCCAGTGGCAATGAAGTAAGATTGTATGCATTTTAATATACCACCTTGCCAACTCATCCATATACATCATTAGATAATAACAATAATTAACTTGCTTGCTTACTTTTACATCATATTTTCTATTAATAGAAAACAATTTCCAAAGATGACTGAAAGTCTATAGTTTTTCATATACATTTTTCAGATATGATCCAAAATTTGGAGATGCATTCTGGAATAGTTCAAAGTATTCCTTGCTCATGTATATTTTCATGATGATGTCTTCTTGGGCCATTGTTTGTGATATTTGGTATATGCCACCAATGTGCCGAGAAGATGGAGAATCAGCAATAGCATTTGCAAACAGAGTAAAGCATGCAATAGCTGAGCAAGGAGGGCTCGTTGATTTGGAATGGTTTGTATTTGTTTTTACGTAATCAAACTTCTCTTTATTCAAATACTATTATACTGCTTTCAAATAACATATTCAAATAATTTATTAATGTGGCCTATAATTAGAATGTTACACAGAATTTTGAATAAAATTAAATGTGCAGAAATGCTCCATAGAAAAAAGAGCTTTAAAGCAAATAAATTAGTTATTGTTGAATTATATTTATGACAATTTAACTTCAGGTGAAGATAAATGTTAAAATTGTTATCATGTATTTATTTTATTTCAGGGACGGTCAGCTGAAACGAGGAAAACCCAAAAAAGAACTTAAAGAGAAACAACAAGAAATTTTCAGTCAAAGATTAAAAAATTTATAATATACTCATATACATCACTTAATTTATTTGTTTACTAGATCTCATTCCATTAGATTTATATTTCATATTTATGTATAAATGTATATATATATACATAAATATTTCTGTATATAAGAATTTTTTAAATTGTCTATACATATTGTATATATTAAATAGATTACTCTAGTTATTTTATAAAAATATTATTGTGTAGGAAATAATGTATTATAATGTTTAACGAATGTATCACAATGATCACCTAGAAAAGAAATTTAGTTGTAATTAAATTGAAATTTACAGATCATGAATATTTAATTTTTCGTTTATAGTCATTAATATTAATTTAGGATCATAGACTTCGCATACTATAAAGAATATTTAATAAGAAAATTAATTAAGCAATTATATTTGTTTTTCAAAATTCATTTAATCACTGCTAGATATTATGTGTAAAATGTATAATTAATCATATTATATAAAAAAGCATTTTAGTTTGGTCTTTCAAAGCTATTAAAAAAATTCAATATATATTTCAAATATGTACTCACTTTTAGAAAATGCTGAAGATCCAGTCAGTTTTATATTTCGCTGTACAAAAAAATCATAAACTGCATAAAAAACTAGGGCATCTCCAGTATTTTGAGCACTTTGAAGAAATTTACGAGCTGATATTGAGTCTGTTCCTTGAACATTTCGTGCTAATCTTAAGGCTTCTAAAACTTCACCTTCACTAAATAATACTTCTAATAGTTCCTGAATAAAAATCACATTTTATTAATACATGAATAATAATACTGAGAAAACATACTTCATATTTTAAATTATAGCTGAATAGGATGATATTTTTGTACAATTAGAATGAAAAAATAATAATTATTATTATTATATTAACAATAACATAATCATCATATTGATCATAATGATCAATGTAAAATATATTTTTTGTTTAAAATATAGTGTATTGAGAATTTTAGGAAGATAAAACTGTGATACATTATTCTCTTAATGTATATCATATGGACATCAAATATTAAATCAATAATCATATTAATTACCTCATGTGCATTTAATCTAGCCAACATATCTTTGGCTATTTGCCTTGCTGCGGGATACAAGTGAGATAATGAAACAAGCATACAAGCCAAAGGTTTGCTATCTGCTAATACTCCATATTGCAGCAATTGTTGTAGTGTGCTAAATTTTTCTTTCCTCATTAATGTTGTAATGAGTAATTCGGTTAAAGCATGACCTGGAAAAAAATCCACTTTTAATCATGTGAAATGAAACCCCGCAAAATTAATATTAAGGTGGTAATTAACCTGGCACACAAAGGTTCAGGGGTACGAGCCGCCAAAGAAGCAATTTGTTTCTTAGAAATATGAGCAAAATATGTATATTCTTATTGCTTATTAGCAACTTACCTGCGGGAATTGAGTGTTCCGTCAGACTTTTGAGATAACAAATCAACACCCAACCAATATGAGGTGCATCTTGTAAGCCTTGCAAAACATGACTGTACATATCATGTTGCGCAAGCATTACTCTGGGCATTGCATGTTTCATCGGTACCGGCTTCACAGAAGCCACAGTGGCAGTTTGTGATTGTAATTCAGAATCTAACCACCCTCTGTAAGATTTACAAATTTGGTCAATTTCAAAGAATATATTTATTTTATAAATGAAATTAAATTAAATTTTCTTTCTGTGCATTTTTATAAACACTTACTTATACACTTTGTTCAATGTCGTGAAGACTTCACTTATTGTAGGCAATAAAGTACTAGCATCTGTTTCATTTAACAACTGCTTTAACATTTTAACGAGCCATGATTTGCCATTAGTCCGATTCAATAGTATTTCACATAATATAACTCTGTCAACAACCAGTTTGCACAAAGCTGATAAATTTAATGATATGCACCAAAAGCATCCTAATCTCGCATCAATTACAACATCTGGCTGAAATACAACCCATGTTGCTGAATCTGTAATAATAAATAATTGATACATTGATTATAATTTCTATAAATAATATGTAAAATTAACTTTTAAAAATTTCAAAATAAATATGGGAACTTACACAAGTCGCAATTAATTGTTGGTGATTCCAAACTATTATGCTTCAATAGACATGGTTTAATAGAACGAGCAGGAGCCAGAGGCAAATGATAAGTGACTCCACTATTTGTTGATTCACCATGTAAATATATGTCAAAAAGCAGAGATGTTTTGGAAGCCTTCAAATAGTTGTTTGCTATAGTTATTGATATATTTTTTATATATCTCATAAACTACCTGATGATGCACAACAATCAAATCATCAACTACATTTACAGCAAAACGACCAGACAGTCCTAACTGCAATACATATCTCTTTCTTGGAGATGGTGAGTCTAAAGTATATATTTGTACTTCTGCAGACTTTTCTGGATTATGACGTAAGATTAGTGCATAAACAGAGCCATATAGTTGAGCCAATGTTACATCTCTTTCCATTACACTTCGACCAGGTTCCACTTGAAAATTTTACCAATCATTTTAAAACAATAGATTTTCATGATATTAAAAAAATACTTTACACTCATACAAACTTTCAAGTCTTGGTAATTTAGTCATAGTCCCAGGTTAAATTGCACCGGTTGAAGAAATAATCCTGGACTGCTAGCCAACAATGCGATTCCTTTCGATGAGCTCCAAGTGAACCATTGCACAGATGTAGCCAATGTTTTAATAAGTTTAAGCGAATGTTTTTCTAATGAAAATAAAAATTGAAAATAAATTCATTTTGATCTTTGATCAATTCAATCTTATTTGATCTGAATTAACCTGGAGTAATAATATGCAACTCAATGCCTTGATCAGTTATAACAGCAATTTCATTATGGCAAATCCATATAAATCCTACAATTATGGATTTTGCTTTACAATTCAATGAATACTCAAGTGGATCAAGTGTTGAATTAACAAAATTCATAAATTCAACAGTTGTATTTGTTCGTTGCACAGCTAAGATTTTTCTATCAGGTGAGAATTTTATGGAGATAACAGGACCTATAAAAAGAAATATCTAAAAATGTATATGACTATAAACAACCTAGTAAACAGGCACTTTAACAAGAAAAGGTAAGCACCCTTATCCTCCATCCTGAAGCTGATGTTTTCATCTTCATCAGGCCCTTTGACAACTACTCCTGTAACACCTCCAGATCGTATGGCAAACACCTGTATATGTATATTATTAAATAAAATATTTCTTATGAGAGTGGGTTATAGAGATAAAAATTAAAAACCTGTCTGTTAGAATCATCAAAGAAAACATTGGTCAACTGGCTAACTGCTTCAAATCTAATTGGGTTATTGGTAAGTTGTAAATAATATTCATCATCATGAAGTGTTTCTTTCATTTGTATACTCATTGCAGCTATTATATTCTCCAATAGGGATTATATATAAACATTAATATTTGAGAAAAGGTTAATGCTTTTTATTTAACTGTCATCATGATAAATACTAGTACACTCTGAGCTCATCATACAACGAATGCAATCCAGTATGTAAAACTGTCATTTTAATCAATTCAGATAAGGTGAAAAGTGAACATTTGTATTATATTATATTCTAAGTAAGTGAATTCTTAACATGTTTCTCACGAAGTCTTGATTTTTATTTTTCTAGTTATCAAATCGATTATTGCACAATAAAGTACGTTAAATAAAATGTTGTAAACCTCTAAATCTGTTTTGATTTTGACAGCTTCATCATTTTTTTCTTATGTTGGCAGTGTTTTATTGACGCAGATTGTAGCTGCTAAAAAGACAGCCATTTTGAATTCACTTCTCAAAGTACATAGTTGAAAATTCAGTGGGGGCTCGCAAGGATAAGGGTGCTCCCGTTGTAAACAAGTGTATAATATTGATTACTTGTGTGCCGTTCTTTTCTGATCGTACGTTTCAGTGTAAAGTTTGTGTTAATCAGTGTAATAAACATGACTTCTGGATCACGTCACAGAGATCGTGATAGCAAAGATAGAGATCGTGGACGAGATCGTGACAGGGATCGAGATAGAGACAGAGATCGAGACCGTGATCGTGATCGTGACCGTGATCGCGGACGCGATTCGTGATAGAGGACCGGGACAGAGAACGTGATCGCGATCGTGTGTGATCGTGATCGAAGACACGACACGCCGCGATCGAAAAAGGTATGAAAAGGACCTCATTGTGCTAGCATATTCTTCTAGTATTATGTCACTTAATCATATTATTTCCTTATCAGGTCGAGAAGTCGAGATCGCCATGATCGCCGCAGGGATCGCAGGAGCAGAGACAGGCACACAAGCAGAGATCGGGACACAAGAAGCAGAGATAAAGAGACGAGTAATATCTTGGAACCTAGTCTTCAATATTCTATTTTAGAAAATATAATTGGAGCTACTACTCTAGAACACTTTACAGGTTTATTAACGGATCAGCAGATAACCAAATGAGTGGTAATGGATTAGGAGGTAATATATTTCATCCAAAATATTTTATTTACCTAATATGTTTACCTTTAGATACTTTTAGTATGTTCTCAAGTTGAATAAATATATCAGTAAAAATGAGCTTTGTGATTAATATGTGAATTGTTCTCTTTTTAGCTCCCATGTTGAAACTGCGGAAGAGGCAAGGGCTAGAAGGAAACGATCACGTTGGGGCGGTGGTGAACATGATAAAAACATTCATTCCTGGTATGCCTACAATCTTACCTCCTACTCTGTCCAAGGAACAGCAGGAAGCATATCTAAGTAAGTAATCAGTTCCTATATTAAGTTCACTACGTAGATTTCATACTTTAGATATTAAAAAAAAAAAAAAAAAAACTATAAAATTGGCTAATTAATAGGTACATCAGGTAAATGAGCCAATCTAGATTAAATAATAAATATCAATTTTAATCTTTTAACTAATTATTGCTTACAGAATACAGATTAGTTTAACTTCAGTACCAGGTTTTGTAGAATTTAAATATGTTTTGAAATTGATTTGAAATGATTACAT